CAGCTTAGCCTGGTGCACCGGATGTCCTTCACCTGGGCGCCCCTTGAAGATGGAGGAGGACGAAGATGTTGTTTCTAGGCAACCAAGCAGTGTGGCGCTCTGGCTGCAGCCCAAAGCCACACCCAGCTGTGTCTGGCTCAGCCTGAGTCCCTGCAGCGGAGACGGCAGCAGCATACAGATGCTGGGAGCCGGTTCTGCTGTCTCATCAGCATGGATGTCATGTTCTCTTTTCCAGGGTGGAAGTGTTAAACAGCTTATGTGGTTTAGTGTCTCTGAGCAGCTTGTGTCCCACGTTTTGTATCCCACCAGAAACCAGTTCTGATGTGTTTCTGGGCTCTTTGTCCTGCTGGAACTCCCAGCTGTGACAGGTTTTCTGTATCCGAGGTCGGGTCGTGGACGTATCCGAAACTTCTCCCCAGTGACACGCCCCAGCGCCCTCTTAGAGAACCGTCATGTCCTGCTTCTGCACACTGAGGAAGAGCGCTGGCCCACTGTCGGTGTTTGTGACTCTGGTTTCTCATCTTCAGGAGAGCTGCAGGAAGTGTCACGTCCAGTGGAAGCTGCATGTGGGGAAGACGTGTGAGCAGGTCCTGGAGAGGGACGAGATCCGAATGAGAGTGCTTTTGTAAGTGTCCACATTCAGATCCCCTCAGAGGAGGATGCTGGGTCCGGTGGCCCAGCAGGCGCTGAGGCGGTACTTCCTGTTGTTGCATCATCAGACTTCCTGGTGCTAAAAGAGGCAGGAAGTGGTCTGGTAGAAGAATCAGAGGTCTGATGCTTTTACCAGGGCTGCTGGGTCGTCACGGATACTGAGACACACAGCGCCAGAAGCATAGGTCCAGATTTCTGTTTTCTACTGAAACCCAGGATCGTGTGACCGTTTGGTTTGATGCATCTAAACGCTCTTCCTGTTTGTTGTGGATCTTCTGCTTTGATCTGAAGCCTCTCTCTCTCTCCCCGCTTCCCGGTCAGAACCATGACCTCTATGTGTTTGTGTGTGCGCTGCAGCGAGGAGCGCATGACGGCGGCTCGGGTCAGGAAGTGTGTGAAGTGCTCGACGGGCCTGGTGAAGTCCGAGGGCTGCAACCGCATGTCGTGTCGCTGCGGGAGCTTCATGTGCTACCTGTGCCGAGAGCCCATCACCGGCTACAACCACTTCTGCCAGCACGCCCGCTCCCCCGGCGCTCCGTGCCGCCACTGCCGCAAGTGTTCGCTCTGGACCGACCCAACGGTGCGCGCACACACACACACACACACAACTGCTCTGAGCCTTGAGTGACATGTTAGCAACCAGCTAGCCATTAGCTTGTGTTCACAGGTGTGTGGTGGACATTTTTGTTCTCAGTTGTATAAATGAACAGAAACACACGTGAGACTTAGTTTAGGCCGACTAAAATCTCCAAAAGGAGCAGATTTCAATTCAATTCAATTTTATTTATAAAGCGCCAAATCACGACAAGAGTCCTCTCAAGGCACTTCACATGATAAACATTCCAATTCAGGTCGGTTCATTAAGCCAATCAGCTAGAGTTACTGCCGAGGGCTAAGGGAATAGATGGCTCAGAGCTATGATTCTGTGTAAGTTTAGCAACTGTACTGAAAAGAAATTTAGGATTATGCTTATTCTCCTCAATTAACGCTGAGAAATAAGCAGTTCTAGTTGCCAAAGCTTATTTTTATAAAGCACAAGACTATTTTTCCAGGATAGGTAGGCCTCCTCATGGTGCGTAGAGCGCCATGTTCTCCCCAGTTTCCTAGAGTTTTGTTTTAAGGCTCGTAAATGAGAATTAAACCAGGGAGCCAACTTCCTGTCCCTAATTACCTTCTTTTTTAAAGGGGCAACATCATCTAATGTCACACGTAAAGAGGAATTCACATGATGAACTAAGGCATCAATTTGTGACGGGCTAGAACTGAAAATATTGCCCTCTGCTACGTTCCTCTGAGATGCTGAGGACAGTAAAGAGATCGTTATTTCCTCACACTCAATGCCATAAGTCAGAACAAGGTCCGATGTATGATGGCAGGAGTGGGTGGAGCTATGTATTCTTTGAGTAAAACCAATTGAGTCTAAGATATTACTAAAGGCTACATTGAGGCTATCATTTTCAATGTCCACATGAATGTTAAAATCCCCCACTACAATGACCTTATCAGTGTTTAGCACCAAATCTGATAAAAAATCAGAGATCTGATCCAAAAACTCAGAGTAAGGGGTTTCACAGTTTTGCAATCTGGATTAGGAAAACTAAGAATAAGATGTTCGAACGAACTGTAACTATTAATCTGTAAGGGACTATTAATAAGTCCGAATGAAAAATGGTTGCTACTCCTCCTCCTCGCTCTGTACTTCGAGCAATATGATGATTTAAATAATTTGAAGGAGTCGACTCCTTAAAGATGAGATGAGTTTTTATTCATCTCTTCTGTCGTTAAAGCCCCTCACCGCAGAGCTGTCACACACGTCAGCCCGCTTTAGCTTCTCTGAACCAGCTCCTTTGTGTTTCTGCAGCAAGACGATGAGCGAATCATTCAGGAGATCCAGAGGGAAGGAGAGGCGGAGCTGAGCAAAAAGTGCACCGGTCAGTGAGCGAACCGTGTCATTCTGGGGGGGTCGAGTTGATGCTGGTTCCGTTTGGGTTTTGGTGTTGACATGAATCACATCACGCTAAAGAAACGTTTTCATCCTTCTTCTTCTCCTCTCAGATAATTCAGGGAAGAGGGTCGGTCCTCCCCCGGAGGCCAACGCCGACACCAAGCGGCCGCGTGTTGGTCCACCTCCTGAAAACCCCCCCAATCCAAACCCCCCAGTCCATCCTCCTCCACTGCCCCCCCAAGCGGTACAAGCCCCACTGTTTGTCCCTCCCCGCCCTCGCTACCCTCAGGCTCCCCCCCAGGGGCGGATTTACCACCAGATCATCCTCCCCCCCCTTGCTCCTGCGCCGTACGTCCTCCCCCCACAGCTGCCCCCCATGAACAATAATAACAACAACCAGCACCCTCCTTTCAACCCTCCCCGTCAGAACATGGACCTGCCCATGCACTATGGACCCCCCCCACACTATTACAGACGCTTCTGACACGCCGCCGCTTCAGCTGCCACTGAAATGGCGCCACCTTCAGGCTGTCCCTCCCCCCTTTCTCACCCGTCTCCTGTTTTTTTAACTCGGAGATGAAAAGTCCACCCAGTTCTGTCTGGACAGATATTTTTGAATAAAAGTGCGAAATTAAAAAGTTAAAAGTTAATATTTCTTTCTGGATCCTTTGTCTATGTATTAGTACATGTATATGTATGTATATACTAGTACATACATATGTATGTATATACTAGTACATACATATGTATGTATATACTAGTACATACATATGTATGTATATACTAGTACATATATATGTATGTATATATTAGTACATATATATGTATGTATATACTAGTACATATATATGTATGTATATACTAGTACATATATATGTATGTATATACTAGTACATATATATGTATGTTTATACTAGTACATATATATGTATGTTTATACTAGTACATATATGTATGTATATACTAGTACTTATATATGTATGTATATACTAGTACTTATATATGTATGTATATACTAGTACTTATATATGTATGTATATACTAGTACATATATATGTATGTATATACTAGTACATATATATGTATGTATATATTAGTACATATATATGTATGTATATACTAGTACATATATATGTATGTATATACTAGTACATATATATGTATGTATATACTAGTACATATATATGTATGTATATACTAGTACATATATATGTATGTTTATACTAGTACATATATATGTATGTTTATACTAGTACATATATATGTATGTATATACTAGTACTTATATATGTATGTATATACTAGTACTTATATATGTATGTATATACTAGTACTTATATATGTATGTATATACTAGTACTTATATATGTATGTATATACTAGTACTTATATATGTATGTATATACTAGTACTTATATATGTATGTATATACTAGTACATATACTAGTATATATGTATGTATATACTAGTACATATACTAGTATATACGTATGCATATACTAGTACTAATATATGTATGTATATACTAGTACATATGTATGTATGCATGTATATACTAGTACATATGTATGTATGTATATACTAGTACATATGTATGTATGTACTCTGGATGTACATACATACATATGTACTAGTATATACATACATATGTATGTATGTATGTTCAGCAGAGTGCTACGATTGTGCCGATTCACTTTGATACACACATTCTCCTGTTTCTGCTCCAAAGTGTCCGAACACACATCAAAGCTCCGCTCCCGCCCGTGGCTCCTGCTGGGTTTACTGGTGCAAACTTGAGTCAACAATAATCTCTGTAGAGGTCTGAAATTACCCCACTGCCACCTCTAATCTGACCTCTCACCTTCCGACCCAGGTGGAAATCATCTCCATGATTTCTGTCCTTTCCAACCCCAGAATAAACACCAGGATTTACCAGACAAAAGATCCTGGATTACAGTTGGGTGGAATTAAAGAGATTTGTCAGCTAATGATGGATTTAATCCAGACAACAAAAACCTGGATTAGCCGGTGTGATTAGACTAAAAAGGAGAATTTTAAAGATTTGTGCGCTGCTCGAACATGCCTACAGCAGAGGAGAATAACAACACGATGGAGTTGAAGCTTTTCAGGTGTTTGAAGGAAGGTTTTAATGTTCAAAAGCTTGTGAGGAAATTTGTTTAAACTGAGTAAATGAGCAGATTCAGCTCTCTATCCTTGTTTGGTTTATGAAATGATATAAAAGTTGTTTGTTCACCAAAAAACTGGATTTTTGAGAAGTGATTAGTATGTCCAGTAACATACATTCTGTTATAATACACACCATAAGATTTGGGCATTTTAAAGGAGCAATATGTAAGAATTCTGCAGTCTGACATCTTTATCATGTTTGACAACAAGTTATACTGAAACAGATTTCATTCTCAGCCAGCTGGAGGGTTGCCAGTTTTTTGCCTTTAAAAAAAACTGAAGATGGACGTAGCGACTTTTTACCCAGTCTGTGCTGAGCTAACGTGGCAGCATCGGCATTTGTAATTCAACAACAGGCATGAACTCCAGAGTTGTTTAAAGGGGCATTATGGAAGTTCGACAGCCAAAACATGTATAGAAATAATACATTTCTTCATACATTCTCCTGCAATGCTCTGGTCCTGTAGAATGAGCCCTGGCATTTTTACTGTGATTGCCTGTTTTTTTTTTTTTTTTTTTGTAAAATCACAGAAAAAGAGCTGCTCAGGTCGAGCAGGCTGCTTCATGTGCGTTCACGCTCAGGCATAGCCCGTAGTATTTGCTATCCGTAGCTTTAGCAGCAGAGAGAGGCAGTGCCACTTTGTCGCTGTTCCTAACGCCTAGTGACAAAGCTAGCTACATTTCTGAGGACCCTTAGCTACTTTCTGTAGAACTTTCTTCTAGATATTTCGTGCAAATTAGCAACAAAATAGCCGTTTTCGCTCCGAACCGTTCTTTGAACATTGTTTCAGCTGTCATCAAGGATATAAATTAACAGATTCTTGAGACATCATTGGTGCTATAGCTCACCTAAGCCCCCTTCAGACAGGCCATGAAAAACAGAAATGTTCCGGACTCTGTCCGTAAGACCTTTGTGTCTGAATACAAACATCCGGATAACGTGTTCCGGAATTTTACTGGACAAAGCCCCTAGTAACAGGTCCGGACTTGTTACGGACAGGGTGGCTGCTTCAGACTGGTGAGGTAGAGTTCTGGACAAGGGGGAGGAGGAGGGGACCGGGGGACGCTGTGCGCACCTAGATAGCCCGCTGCTGTAGCATGCGGCGAACCACGGCAGCTCGCCTCCTACGGTACCGCCTAGACGCGCGACGGAGCACTTCACACCGCTTCAGTTATTCCTTTAACCATTGAGCTTCATCATCCAGGTCTCTTATGCGTCTTCGTGTGCGCAAAATTATGCTTAAGCGCCTCGTGATTTTTATCTTGAGAGGCGCTATAGAAATGATATTTTTTTCTTCTTCTTCTTAAAATGAGTCAGATCCCGGGTCGACCCGGGGGCCTCCTGCCGGCAGGACATGCCCGAAACATCTCCCCAGGGAGGCGTCCAGGAGGAATCCTGACCAGATGCCCAAACCACCTCAACTGGCTCCTTTCGATCCGGAGGAGCAGCGGTTCTACTCAGAGTCCCTCCCGAATGTCCGAGCTCCTCACCCTATCTCTAAGGCTGAGCCCGGCCACCCTACGGAGGAAACTCATTCCGTTCGAAGGTTAAGAACATAAAATGTTCATAGACCATTAATAGTAAATAGTGCGCCAAAAGGGCTCATAGGTTTTTACCCTATTGGCCTTCCATACTGCTTCACTTGAATACTAATATACAGACGTGGGCAAAATTGTTGGTGCCCTTCAGTCAATAAAAGAAAACCCCACAATAGTCACAGTAATAACTTGAATCTGACAACAGTTATAAATAAAAATTCTTTGAAATTTAACCAAATATTACTTTTCAACCATGCTACAACTGAATTATAAAAAATTAAATTAAATCATGCTGCAGGCTGGACAAAAACGATGCTACTGGCAGAAGAGACTGAGAATAATGTGACATGTTAATTCAAGGCATGTCCACTAGTTAGCATTACAGGTGTCTGTGGGCCTTTATATAGGGCTCCAGGTAGTCAGGGTGTTGTTTGGTGACATGGTGTACCACACTCCACATGGACCAGAGGAAGAGAAGGAAAGAGTTGTCTCAGGAGATCAGAAAGAAAATTATAGACAAGCATGTAAGAGGTAAAGGCTATGAGACCATCTCCGAGCAGCTAGATGTTCCTGTGACCACAGCTGCACACGTTATTCAGAGATCTCAGATCCGTGGGACTGTAGCCAACCTCCCTGGATCTGGCCACAGGAAGAAAACTGATGATAAATCAAAGAAACGAATAATCTGAATGGTGACAACTGAGCCCAGAAATGCCTCTAAAGAGATCCAATGTGACCTTCAAGCTGAAGTAACATCAGTGTCATCCATCGTTGTCTGAGCCACAGTGGACTTCATGGGAGACGACCAAGGAGGACATCACTGTTGAAAATGTGGCAAGGTGGAGAAACGAGGGCCCAGGCGGGATTCGATCCCCAGACTCCCGGGTGAGAGTCATGCGCGCTAGCCAGTCAGCCAAAGGGGCATCCCCTTGGCCAAGTAGCCAGGGCGCATGATCAATCGGGACACTGTGACAGGACGCTCACACTGTCACAAAAACAAATCAAAAAGCCAGACTGGAAGATGCCAAACTACATGTCGACAAGCCACAAAGTTTCTGGGAGAATGTCCTCTGGACAGATGAGACAAAAGAAAGAAGAACACTACTGTGAAACACTGAGGAGGCTGTGTTATGTTCTGGCACATGGTGTCTTGAATCTGTACAGGGTACGATGAAATCTCAAGACTGTTGAGGGATTCTAGAGAAAAATGTGCTGGCCAGTGTCAGAACGCTTGGTCTCAGTCGCCGGTCATGGGCCATGCAACAGGACAATGACCCAAAACACACAGCTAGAAACACCCAAGAACGGCTAAGAGGAAAACATCAGACGACTCTGTCGTGGCCTTCGATGAGCCCTGACCTCAGTCCTATTGAGCATCTTTGGAAGGAGCTGAATCATGCTGTCTGGAAAAGACGCCGTTCAAACCTGAGACAACTGGAGCAGTTTGCTCATGAGGAGTGGGCCAAAATACCTGCTGAGAGGTGGAGAAGGCTCACTGACAGTTACAGAAATCGTTCGATTGCAGCGATGGTCGTGCAACAAAACATTAAGTAGGAGGAGCATCATTTTTGTCCAGGCCTGTTCCTTCAGTTCATTTTTTAAAATAGTTCAGTTGAAGCGTGGGTGAAAAGCAATGTCTGACTTTCAGCTGGTTAAATTTCATATTTTTTATTACTTTTGTCAGATTCAACTTATTTATGTGACCATTGCAGGTTTTTCTTTCATTGACTGAAGGGTACCAACACTTAAGTCCACGTCTGTAAATGTATCATTTACTCCAACTCCATGAATCAGCTAACAGAGATTAGAGCTGCAGCTACATGCTTAAGCCCCATTCCCACCTGTACCGGGTCGGCCCGGGCCGGGTAGCGTAGGTTGTTTACATATCTGGGTGGCCTGGAATTTTCCCGGGCCAACCA